ATACACCAATAACAGACTTAAAGAGAGCCAAATCAAGAACAAACTTCCATTCACAATTGCCACAAAGAGAATAAAATACCTAGGAATACAACTAACAAGGAATGTAAAGGACCTCTTCAAGGAGAACTACAAGCCACTGCTCAACGAAATAAGAGAGGACACAAACAGATGGAGAAACATTCCATGTTCATGGTTAGGAAGAATCAATATCGTGAAAATGGCCATACTGCCCAAAGTAATTTACAGATTCAATGCTATCCCCATCAAGCTACCAATGACCTTCTTTGCAGAACTGGAAAAAACCACCTTAAACTTCATATGGAACCAAAAGAGAGCCCGCATAGCCAAGTCAATTCTAAGCAAAAAGAACAAAGCGGGGGGCATCACACTACCAGACTTCAAACTATACTACAAGGCTACAGTAATCAAAACAGCATGGTACTGGTACCAAGACAGAGACATAGACCAATGGAACAGAACAGAGGTCTCAGAGGCAACACAACGTATCTACAACCATCTGATCTTTGACAAACCAGACAAAAACAAGCAATGGGGAAAGGATTCCCTGTTCAATAAATGGTGTTGGGAAAGCTGGTTAGCCATGTGCAGAAAGCAGAAACTGGGCCCCTTCCTGACACCTTACACTAAAATTAACTCCAGATGGATTAAAGACTTAAACATAAGACCTAACACCATAAAAACCCTAGAAGAAAATCTAGGCAAAACCATTCAGGACGTAGGTGTAGGCAAGGACTTCATGACCAAAACACCAAAAGCATTGACAACAAAAGGCAAATGGGACCTAATCAAACTCCACAGCTTCTGCACAGCAAAAGAAACAATCATTAGAGTGAATCGGCAACCAACAGATTGGGAAAAAATTTTTGCAGTTTACCCATCTGACAAAAGGCTGATATCCAAAATTTACAAAGAACTAAAGCAGATTTACAAGAAAAAAACTAACAAGCCCATTCAAAAGTGGGCAAAAGATATGAACAGACACTTTACAAAAGAAGACATACGTGAGGCCAACAAACATATGAAAAAATGCTCATCATCACTGGTCATAAGAGAAATGCAAATCAAAACTACATTGAGATACCATCTCACGCTGGTAAGAATGGCGAACATTAAAAAATCTGGAGACAGCAGATGCTGGAGAGGATGTGGAGAAATAGGAACACTTTTGCACTGTTGGTGGGAGTGTAAATTAGTTCAACCATTGTGGAAGACAGTGTGGCAATTCCTCAAGGACATAGAAATAGAAATTCCATTTGACCCAGCAATCCCATTACTGGGTATATATCCAAAGGATTACAAATCGTTCTACTATAAGGACACGTGTACACGAATGTTCATTGCAGCACTGTTTACAATAGCAAGGACCTGGAACCAACCCAAATGCCCGTCGACGATAGACTGGATAGGGAAAATATGGCACATATACACCATGGAATATTATGCAGCCATCAAAAACGATGAGTTTGGGTCCTTTGTGGGGACATGGATGAACGTGGAAACCATCATTCTCAGCAAACTGACGGAGGAGCAGAAGATCAAACACCGCGTGTTCTCACTCATAGGCGGGTGTTGTACGATGAGAGCACATGGACACAGGGAGGGGAGCACTACACACTGGGGTCAGTTGGGGGGAAAGAGGGGAGGGACGGTGGGGGATGGGAAGCTGGGGAGGGATAGCAGGGGGAGAAATGCCAGATGTGGGTGATGGGGAGGAAGGCAGCAAATCACACTGCCACGTGTGTTCCTATGCAACAATTTTGCATGTTCTTCACATGTACCCCAAAACCTAAAATGCAATAAAAAAAATAAAAAAAAAAAATCAATCAATAAATAAGAAAATGGAAACGGAACAATGATGAATATCACCTGAAGCCATATAAAACAGACAGAATCTTACACATAACTCAACCAAAAATGAAAATAAACTTGTGAAAAATCAGAGTATGGTTATACAAATACAATAAATAGTACAGAATGTTAAGTAACTGAAGAATAGACCAAGGAGAGTCAACCTACAATAATCAGGACTCCAAAACACAAAATAGATAGTATAGAGCTGAATATAAAAAAAAAAGAAAATTTTAAAAATTCAAAATAAAAAAAGAGAGAGGTCAGATAAAAAGATGGAATTCCCAGGCCAGGCGTGTTGGCTCATGTCTGTAGTACAGCACTTTGGGAGGCCGAGGTCAGCAGGTTCCTTGAGCTCAGAAATTCGAGACCAACCTGGGCAATGTGGCAAAATCCCATCTCTACAAAAAATACAAAAATTAGCCGGGCATGGTGGCACATGCCTGTAGTCCAAACTAATCAGGAGACTGAGGCAGGAAGATCACTTGAAACTGGGAAGTCAAGGCTGCAGTGAGCAGAGATCACGCCACTGGACTCTAGCCTGGGTGACAGGGAAACTCTGCTTCAAAAAAAAAAAAAAAAAAAAAAAAGGAAGAAAGAAGAAATTACCATCAAGGCTGAAAGCTGTTAACGTGTTGATTAAAAGTGACAGACAATCTATTACAGAAAGCAATACCAATCAAAATCCCGAGGCGGGGGGAGAGAGAGAGACAGAAAGGGGGGGTGTGGGGGGGAAGGAGAGAATGAATGAGTGTGTGTGTGTGTGTGTAATTTATTTTAAAAGGCTTTAGAGGAGAAAAGAAGGGAAAGTACGCTTGGAAGAGTCCCAAGTGGGCATGGAGGTCAAGTGCCTAAATGGAATTGTTTTTAATTCAAAAGTTAATCTGGAAGGCTGGGCACGGGGGATCATGCCTGTAGTCCTAGCACTTTGGGAGGCCAAGGTGGGCAAATCACTTGGGCCCAGGAGTTCCAGACCAGCCTGAGCAACACAGTGAGACCCTGTGTCTACAAAAAACTTTTTTTTAAAATTAGCCAGATGTGGTGGTTAATTAAACACATGTAGTTCAGCTACTTAGGAGGTTGAGGTGGGAGGACTGCTTGAGCCCAGGAGGTCGAAGCTACAGTGAGACAGGGTTGTCAAATAAATGATTCATTCATTAGAATATTATATATTTAACAAAACTATTATTTTCAAAAGATTCTAATGTCATAGAAAAATGATTGCAGTATTTTGCCAAGTGGAAAAAGAACATCTCAACTCCTAAAAACCTAAATGATTACAATGTTTATGTATCTAAATAGAATATAGAAAAAAGTCTAGAAAGAAAGAGATTTTAACAAAACAGTAAATGTGGTTCTGTGTGTTGAGATTAATTTTTTATTCTCTCAATTCTCTATAATAATCCTATATGACATTTCTAATAAAAGTTATTAGAAATTTAAAGACATGACAAAGCAAAAAGTAATTATATGAAGCTTTTATGGCATTTAAAAAATACTTTCATATACACTATTTTATTGCATTCTAACAAAATGGTTAAATTATATAGTTATAGAAACCAAGGTTCAGAGAAGTTAAGGATTAGCACAGGCAATAAATGTAAACTGAATGGCTAAAATAGCCAAAAACACTAAGAATAGAAAGATAAATAAGACAAGGTACCTGCACTAAGGAACTTAAGGTCTAGCAGAGGAAAGAAATAAGAAGTACAATACAGGCTGTGGACTCTAAGACACAGACAGGTTCAGGTTTCAAATGGATACATAAAGGAAAGAGTGGACACTTTCATCTAATTGATCAGGGAAGTTCTGGGATGTCTCTTCTGAGAATGTAATCCAAAAAAACTTAAAAAAAAAAAAGGTGGTAAGAAACATGGAAAAGGTATAGGAGGCAGAGGGAGACCAGGTTTAGTTGCTGACTGCATGTGGCTGAAAAAGAAAAGAAGCAATCTATAATGACTCCTAGATTTCAAATTAGTTAACTGGAAAGAAGCGTAAAGACACTCAGTGAAACAGGGAAAACAGAAGGAACAACAAATTTTTGGAGAAAGATGTTGAGTTTGATTTCTGAAAGAAAAGGTTTGAGATACCTGGGGGAACTTCAAGGGGAAAATGTCTAACATGTACTAGCATACATTGGTTTGGGACTTAGGAAAGAATATCTGGGACAAAGGGAAAGTTTTGGGAGTTATGAGCATTTAGATGGTAGCTGATTCCATGGGAGTAAATAAGATCAGTCAGGAGGGCATGTACATGCCAGAGTGGGAACCTAGGAGGATACTGATATTAAGAATGACCAGGAGACTGAGGAAAAATGTTAAGAGGCATCAGAGGAAAATGCAGTGTCTTAAAAGCAAGAAGGTGTGACTACCTATTTTAATTACCACAATACGTGTGTCACCACAGCATTTTTCAGGAGAAAGAAAAATAAATGGGAGGGGCACAGTGGTTCATGTCTGTAATCCCTGCACTTTGGGAGGCTGAGGCAGGCAAATCACTTAAGCCCAGTAGTTCAGGACCAGCCTGGGCAACATGGTGAAACCTCATGTCTAAAAAACAAAACAAAAACAAAAACAAAAAAAAAACAAAAATTAGTCCAGGTAGGCCAGGTACAGTGGCTCACACCTGTAATCCCAGCACTTTGGGAGGCCAAGGCAGGCAGATCATGAGGTTAGGAGATTGAGCCCATCCTGGCTAACATGGTGAAACTCCATCTCTACTAAAAATACAAAAATTTAGCCAGGTGTGGTGGCACACATCTGTAGTTCCAGCTACTCATGAGGCTGAGGCAGGAGAATTGCTTGAGCCAAAAGTTGGAGGTTGCAGTGAGCCAAAATCACGCCACTGCACTCCAGCCTGGGCAACCGAGCTAGATAGACTCCGTCTCAAAAAAAAAAAAAATTAGGCCAGTTATAGTGTAGTATGCCGGTAGTCCCAGCAACACAGGAGGCTGAGGGGAGGAGTGCTTGAGCCCAGGGAACTCAAGGTGGCAGTGAGCCATGTACTCTCCGTACTCCAGCCTGGGTGACACAGTGAGATCCTGTCTCAAATAAAAAGAAAGAAAGGAAAGAAAAATAGATGAACATCAAATATGAATGCAAATATAACCAGAAAAACATTCCATTCCTTACTTCATCTCTGCTGATGAGTTCATTGGAAAAAGTGAGTCCTGGCATAAGACCTCTCTTCTTTAGCCAGAATATAGCAGCAAAAGATCCTGAGAAGAAAACTCCTTCTACAGCAGCGAAGGCCACCACTCTTTCCCCTGGGAGACATAAAATCGTTTCAGTTTTTGAAATATCACATACTGCAAACACTGGCACATATATATATATATATATAAACAATAAACACCACAACTGTTTTGCAAAGAAACAAAATACACAAGTTAGTACCACAGCCAAAGATCTCCATAGGAGAATATGTGCCACCTCCACCTACTGGAGCAGAAAGGTATGCCTCCTTCAAATCCTCTGTCAGACAATGAACTTCTATAGGTCTTATTGTCTGGACACAGAATGGCCTTCCATACTCAAAACAAGAGGTGATTTACATGTGCACCACACATGACTGTGAGTGCAGGTACATGCATATGTGTGCAGTATGTATACATATGTGTGTGTATACTGGACTGGAGAATAGATGGTAGACTTTATGACAAATGTCCTCCTCTGAAAGGAGGAGAGGTTGCTTAAGTTTATTATTTTTAGAAACCTATGGTATCTTAGAGACTATCTGTAGACATTTCAAAAACCATTGGCATGCATTTGCAATTAAAAAAAGATAAACCCAAGTGAGGATAATAAATATATCTGTTAGATAAAAAGTCCCCATAACATAAGCAAAAATACTGTTTTCTGCTAAATATAAAAGGGCCAATTTTAAGGGTTCGGCAAGGACTTTGTAGAGGTCCATCTCCTATTAATAAATTGTCTACAGTGGCATCCTATCTGTAACATTACCAGGATGATCAGAGGTCTAACCCAAAAGGTCATTCACAAGGTGCTTATGTCACCACACTGCATATGCTTGAGAAAAGTATTATGTATGTCTAAGGAAAAAGGTTTGGTCTATAAAACTGTGACATAAAGGCAGCTGAGTGCTTGAGTGCATACAACCTTTTTTATAGGTGACATCACAGTTTATATCTCAGTACATGTCACAGGACCAAACACAAAGAAGTCAATAAACGAGTCCTAAACTGACTTAATGGAACCTATGTAAGTACCAGATGACAGAAGACATTAAAATCCATTCTAGGCCAAGCGCACAGTGGCACACATCTGTAATACCAGCACTTTGGTAGGCCGAGGTAGGGGGATCACTTGAATGCAGGAGTTAGAGACCAGCCTGGGCAACATAGCAAAACGCCTTTCTCTACAAAAAATTTAAAAATTAGCTGGGTGTGGTGGTACACACCTGTAGTCACAGCTACCCGGGAGGCTGATGTGGGAGGAATGCTTGAGCTCAGGAGGTCAAGGCTGCAGTGCACTATGATCACACCACTGCACTCCACCTGGCGACAGAGGAGCCCCTATCTCAAAAACTGTCGTTGTTGTCATTGTCATCATCATCACTATTCTTAAGATAGAGATTTGTCATTAATTTAACATAAAACTTACTGTATCTTTTATCTTACTATTAGGATAACTGATAGTTATTGATACATTTTTCATTGGCATTAAGGTAACATCACATGGACAATTATCTGTAAGGGAAGTAGACTATAATTAAATGCAAACACAAATATGTGAATAAAAGAAAAATTGATATTTATATTTTTATTAGAGACAGTCTTACTCTTGTCACCCGGGCTGCAGTGCAGTGGTACACTAATGGTTCAAACAGTCTCAAACTCTTGGGCTCAAACAATGCTCCCACCTCAGCCTCTGACATAGCTGGGACTATAGGCGTGTATCACCATGCCTGACTAATTTTTTTACTTTTTTAGAGCTAAGGTCTCTCTACGTTGCCCTGGCTAGTTTGAACTCCTGGCTCAAGCCATCCTCTCATCTCAGCCTCACAAGAAGCTGGGATTACAGGCGCAAATCACTATGCCTAGTGGAAAATTGGTATTGCAACCATTCTATACATTCATGTGAATACTAAAGAATGAAAATAGTAACATAGTTATAGAAGGCTATTCCTTTTTGGAGATTAAAGGATTATAAATGGTACATTTTACAATTTTTTTGAGAACATAAGTGAAGTAAAAAGAGGCTTCCAGAACATTTTTTCTAAAAACTACAGTGAATGTAAAGGCCTTAAGATTCATTTCAGAGAGGGGAAAGTAGGATATATTTTTAAGATACAGCTGACCTCTATGATGGCAATGTACTAAGATTGTGTGACTAATACTTCTTTGGGCTTGAAATGAAATTTCATTACATATATTAAGATTTAATCTACATATGTTTTAAAGTTATTTAAAGAGATTTTAAAAATTAAACAGGATGGGTCAGGTGCAGTGGCTCACGCCCATAATCCCAGCACTTTGGGAGGCCAAGGTGGGTGGATCATGAGGTCAAGAGTTCAAGATCAGCTTGACCAAGATAGAAAAACTCCATCTCTACTAAAAATACAGAAATTAGCCAGGCATGGTGGAGGAGGCCTACAATGCCAGCTACTCAGGAGGCTAAGGCAGGAGAATCACTTGAACCTGGGAGGTGGAAGTTGCAGTGACCTGAGACTGTACCACTGTACTCAAGTCTGGGGGACAGAGCAAGACTCTGTTTAAAAAAAAAAAAAAAATTAAACAGGATATCTCAATTTAAAAAAAAACTATGCAGATATATAATTAGGAAAATTTTAGCTCTATAGGAATTCAATCTCCTTATAATGTAAACTTTCAGACAAACTAATGATGTTTTAAAAAATATTCTCAGTTTCTTTTTAGCTCAAAATAAAGGCTTGTAAGAGTCTGGATATAAGGAAAAAATAGTTGCTATGCTGGATCTTAGCGCAAAAAGCACTAAGGTCACCAAAAATGTTAGGCAAAACCCTGAGCCAGATGAAAGAGCTGCCCTTGTCAACTTATAGCTACCAACGGTGCAGGTGGCCCAATCAGTTCATAAAACAGCACGTCCTCAGCTGGTTAAAGTAAAGTAGCAGTGTGCAGCAAAACAAGGCGATATGTATTTTCAGGTTATTGTCTTTTAGCTCCACTCCCAAAAAGGAGAGCCACCAATGCACTATTCACTCTTTTCCCTTTCTCTGTTCCACTCTCCACCCATTCAACTCCCCCTCCACAATTTTGGAACATGTTCTTTCCTCTGAGACCCTAAATTAGAACCCCAAATGGGGTTTGCCTTGAGATTAAGCAATACGGATAATCTAGCTGGTATCCTCATGTAGTTACGTGGTGACTGCCAGCCTTCCTTCCCCAGTTTCTCTATTTCTAGGTTGTCTTTCTTGGGTAGTTCATGAAATACATGCTTTCCGTGGGCCTGCTCATCATTTTCCATCACTATCTATCCATACTAATATTTTCAGTGTATATGGAACACTCTGCCTTTTCCCTTCTTTTTTCTCTAAAGCCAGCATTTCCCAAAGTGTTTCTGAAGCTCCTTGTGAGGGAAGCAGCTGAATACAAAATGCAGATGCCTCAGTCCCACCTGGGTCTCCCACATTACCTTTGGCAGGTTACTTAAAGAGTTTTTCCACAAATTCTCCAGTTGAATTTTATATATATTGATAACCAGTGCTTTCCTCCTTCCTCTTTTTAAAGAAAATTTTTTTAGAGTCTGGGTCTTGCTCTGTCACCCAGGCTAGAGCACAGTGGATCACAGCTCACTGCAGCCTCAAACTGCTGGGCTTAAGTGGTCCTCCTCCCTCAGCCTCCCAAGTAACAGGGTCTACAGGTGCACGCCACCACACCTGGCTAGTTTTTAAATTTGTTGTAGAGATTGGGGTCTTGCTTTGTTGCCCAGACTGGTCTTAAACTGCTGGCCTCAAGTGATCATCCTGCCTCAGCCTCCCAAAGCACTGGGGTTACAGGCACGAGCCACTGAGACTGGCTGCTTTTCTCATTCTTGAAATAAACTGAAGGCAAGGAGGCAAACACATCTGTTTCATCCCTGATATACTACATGCTGGCCGATATACAGACTACATCACTGGTTCTTGGGTGTAGTCCAGGAGTCCCTGAGAGATCCACAGACCCAGGAGATCTGTGAGGTCAAAACTATTTTCATAATAGCATTAAGGGATTATTCACGTTTTAATTAACAGTCTCTCATACTTTACAATGGTATTTTCTAGAGGCTACATGACATATCCATAATAATTTGAAAAGCTTAACAAAATATTCCTCCCTTTTCTAACTATAACACATATTTAAATGAGGCATATTATATATATATATATATATACACACACACTGCAACAAATTGAATGCAAAGGCAGATATGGTACTCCAACTGTTTTCTATTAAGTCAGACTTTAAAAGATTTATAGAAATATAAAGGAAGGTGCTACTCTTTTTTTGGAAAATATAGAAACTTATAGAAAAATGTTATCTGTATTAAAATGTAATGGGTTAATTACTGCTATCTTAGAATGTACTAATAAATATTTTAAAATTTTCTCAATGTTAATTGCTAATGCAGAAATATCAATAGCTATAACCTACCCAAATAAAGGCACTCTGGAGCTCTCAATAATTTTTAAGAGCACAAAGGGGCCTGAGACCAAAAATTTTGAGACTTGCTTCCCAACATAACAAATAAAACCAGAAAATAAAGAACACCAATTAAAAATAGATAAGAATGAAATGGGTACTTAGAACTATCCAAAAGATATATAAATATTTTAATTATATTTAGTAAATATTTACTGAGCAACTACTATGTATAAGACATAATACAAGATACTTCCTTAAAAAATGATACAGGATCTCAACTCACCAGAAGGGTGTTTGCATTTAGCTTACCTATGAAAAATAAGACTGTTATTACAAATTGTTTTTTGTCCTGGTTGACCACACTAATCTTTTTGAGAAACTAGATTGTTTCCTGAAAATGTTAAGATTTCATTTGCTTTAAATTCCTAAAATAGGCCAGATGAGGTGGCTCACACCTGTAATCCCAGCACTTTGGGAGGCCAAGGCAGGTGGACCACCTGAGATCAGGAGTTCAAGACCAGCCTGTCCAACATGGCGAAATCCCCATCTCTACTAAAAAATACAAAAACTAGCTGGGCTTGGTGGCAGGCGCTACCAAGCCCAGCTACTTAGGAGACTGAGGCAGGGAGAATTGCTCGAACCTGGGAGACAGCAGTTGCAGTGAGCAAAGATCATGTCACTGCACTCCAGCCTGGGTAGCAGAGTGAGCCTCTGTCTCAAAAAAAAAAAAAAAAAAATCCTGAAATAAACTTAAAAACAGGTATAAACTGTGGATTGCTATAATATTATCTTGTTAGATTCTATGTGACTGACTCCTATTTAACTGTCATTATGTGCTAACATCTTGACTTTTCAACTTGCAACTTATTAAGTAGAATAGATAACAGCTTTATTTTTATGACCAGTTTCTAATTAATCATTAGGAATAATGATTTTGATAAAGGTGCATTTGAGACATTTGTACTCCTTTTCCATGCTGTAACTTTTTGATTAGTACTGGATAGTCACACCACATAAAATACTGTCCTATCACCTGAGGCAAATCTGAACATACATAAATTAGAGCCACATACCAAAAGTAGATTTTCTATCTGCTATCCATCGCAAGGCCCAATCTGCTTTTTTCTTAACATATGGCATGGTTTCAATGGCATTAAATAAAAATTCCCTATAAAAACAAAAGAATGAATAGCAGAGTTATTCACTTGTTTTTCTCAATTGGACTACACTGTAATAGTTCAATCAGAGATAATAATTGTAACTCTATGGTATGTTACCAGATCTGTAGTTTTTCTACATTTTTAATTTTTTATTTACATTTATTTTCTTGCCATAAAACAGAAATAAAATTCAAATTATTGATTTAGATTTGGTCTCACACAAAACCAGCTAAATTTGAATATTCAATTTCTAAACAGAAGATGCTACTGAACAGTTCTTAAAGATAAAATATCTAAAGGTTAACTGGTTCTATAACAAGTTTTTTTTTTTTTTTAAGCCAACACATTATTAAGCAATAGAAAATATTATGCTCAGAAACTTCCATACTTGAATAATCTTTCCTTAACACTGAGTTTTGGAATAAATTCTGCTCTGAACATAACCAAGCAATAAGCAATATTTCATAAATAAAATCCCAACAATAATACCTTTTCTTGGGATCTCTGATGTAAGTGTCTATTAGCAAACTGTACATCTCTGAATGAACATTCTCGATGAGAATTTGAAAGCCATAGAAACAGCGAGCCTCTGGAACCTGCACCTCCTGACTAAAGCGCTCCACCTAAGAAGATAAGGGAAACAGATATATCCACTTCTATAGGCTCTCGTTAAACACTGCAAGTCAGAATCTGGACATCAGCATTATCACTTAAAAACTGCCTGTCATGTAAGGAACAGGTCAGAAAGACCTTGTGGATTATTTTAGGCAGCATCCTAGGCAATACTGCCTATCCATCAATCCTCCATGGTAAATTAAATTCCTAAGCATTAAAAAAATTGACCTGTTAGGTAGAGATACTGCCTATAGAGCCAAATACATTTTAGAACATCTACCAAAAATAATGCTTTGCTTTGTAGAACTGATCTAAAGTCATTTTTTTCCTGACAGTAGAGGGATCTTAAAGCCTCTTCGAGTTCATGATGAAAGTTCTTATCTTTCTTTTTAAGAAGTTATGCCTCCTGATCAACCATAATCAAGTTTTAAAATGGGGAGCCAGAACCCAGTGTTCTATTACAGAGCATAATTATTATAAAGGTTATTAAGGTGCAGGTTCTCTATTAAGCTTACCATCTGAGGGTAAAAATCAAACTCATGTTAATGCATTGTAAGTAGTTTTGACTGGTATGGTATGTTTATGCTTGGTTTCATAATAGTTTGCTGGTCAAAGGATAATCAATTCATCAGAAAAACATTTAAAGAGTTAAGCTTCATCTAGTTCATGTTTTAGACATCTTTTCTCTGGCTCAATTTAATAGTCTTACTGACATTATCACCATTTAACTGCTAACGGAGAACAAAAGTTAAATCAAACAAAAACCTTACCAAATTTTCATTTACAATTCCATCACTGGCTGCAAAAAAGGCTAAAATGTGAGAGATGAAATACTTCTCATCTGCTTTAAGCTTGTTCCAGTGAGGCAGATCCTTTGATAAGTCGACCTGGAATAAAAAGATATTCAAAAATTTTAATTTGGAGTTAAGTTCTTCTCAACGTGTTTGGGAAACTAACTTCCATTGTAAAGTTAAGTAGGAATATGCTACTACCAGTAAACTATGGAAAAAGAAAGATGTCAGCATTGCAAAGAAATAAAACAAAAACATTATGTTAATAATAGTGTATTGTATTCAGAATGTTTGTTAAATGAGTAGATTTTAGCTACTCTTGGTGGGGGAGGGGGAAATAGCTAACTATGTGAGGCAAAGGAAATGTTAATTTGTTACACTATGGTAACCATTTTACTACACATATATATATATCTTATAACATCATGTCCTACACCTTAAACATACACAGTAACACTTACCTTTAAAAAATTATAACAGAATTGAATTTTCTGGCCAATTAAGTTGGCCAGGATGCACTTTAAAAATATTAAAATGAACATAATCTAGTGGCACTGGAGCAAATGAAAGAAGGATTAAAAGAGGTGGAGGGAGAGTAAAAACTAGTCAAGAAGGCACTGAAGTGAATAAACTAATGCTTCTCAACAGTCATTGCTTTAATATTTTATATAATATTTGCTATGGTGTTAGATAGATAATTAGGCACCTATTAACCAACTGTAGCTGCTACTTTACTACCAGGTAATCTACTTTTATATCCAGAAGTAATGCTAGGCAGGTAACAACCTGAGTTTTGTTTCTGTTTTGTTTTGTTTTTTTAAAGAGACAGGGTCTCACTATGTTGCCCAGACTGGTCTCAATCTCCTGGCCTCAAGCAAGCCTCCTACCTTGGCCTGTCAAAGTGTTGGGATTACAGGCTTGAGCCACCAGAAGTGGCCAACAAACTGTTTTTTAAAACAGTTTATAGTGATGGCTTCCATTGGGAATGGAAATATATGTGAAAATGTTCATTAGAATTAGTCCTTGGAATCAAGGGAGATGTACTTTAGAATTTGGTGAAATGTACAATTTAGAATTTGTCTATTTTTTTAAATTTTTGAGATGGGGTTTCACTCTGTCACCCAGTTTGGAGTGCAGTGGCACAATCTCAGCTCACTGTAACCTCTGCCTCCTGGGCTCAAGCAACCCTCCCACCTCAGCCGCCAAAGGAACAAGTAGAACCACAGGCACACAGCACCATGCCTGGCTAATTTTTTGTATTTTTGGTAGTGACAGGGTTTTGTCATGTTGCCTAGGCTGGTTTCAAACTAGTGACCTCAAGTGATCGGCCTGCCTTGGTCTCCCAAAGTGCTGGGAGTACAGGCCTGAGCCACTGCATTCAGCCAAAAATAGTTTTTAAATGTACCTTGTCTTAGTCAGTTCTGGGGGCTATAACAAATTACCATAGGCTGGGTTGCTTAAACAACATCCTTTTTATTATTATTATTATTTTTAACATTTCTGGAAGCTGGAAGCCCAAGATCAGGATGCCAGCATGGTTGGGTTCTTGGTGAAGTCCTCTTCCTGGTTTACAGATGGCCACCTTCTTGCTGTATCCTCACATAGCAGAGACAGAGAGAGAGGTTCTTATCTCTCATGTCTCTTCTTATAAGGCCACTAATCCTATTCATGAGGGCTCCACCCACATGACCTAATTACCTCCCAAGGCCCCCCCCCCCAAATGCCACCAGACAGCATATACAGACATAATGACAGCATATATCATTTTGATAGGGACAGGAGGCAGGGAAATTCTGGGAAGAAGAAGGTGGTCCCCAGCTAGGGCTCCACCCTCAATCCTGGAACTTCGGCCCAAAGTGAGAACATGCATTCCTATTTTCCCATTCGAATGTTGCCTTTTCCAAAACCACCCATGGCCGGCGCTTCTCCCCTACTCTGGGCCCATAAAAACTCCAGGTTCTGCTGGCAGAGAAGAGGAAAGAAGAAGAGGAGAGGCAGCTGGAAGTCAGAGACTATGGTTGAACATCGGAGAGAAGCAACTTAACTTCAGAGGAACAGCTTGACAGCATTGCTTTGGAGAGGAGTCAGCCAGGGATGGTCAAACTCCAGGGGAAGATTATCTTTCCACTCCATTCCCTTTTCAGCTCCCCTTCCCACTGAGAGCCACTTTCATTGGCAAGAAAATCCTCTGTATTCACCACCCTTCAATTTGTTCACATGACCTGATTTTTCCTAGATGCTGAACAAGAGCTTGAATGCCACAGGTGCAGATGCTAAAGGCTGTCACAATGACCCTCTGTCCTTGCAGGTAGAGAGCAAATGCTTCATGTGAAAAGGCAGAGGGCACACTGAGCTGTTAAAACTTAAGCCATCCTTGGACAGGAAAAGCTAAAAGACGGTTGACTATAACACGTTCCTTCTGGGGTTTCAAGGGTTGTGGGTACTCCCCATGGATGCTGCCATGGGGTAGGGCCGGCATGGAGTTTTCCTCCTGCCAGTGCCCAAAAGCACTTGCCCAAGCTCCGGCCCTGCTCACCTGCATGCTCCCTCCCTCAAGGGGTTGAGCACAATGAGTTCAAGTGAGTGGAGTTTGCCTCTGCCAGCACTGAAGCAGCCAGCTAGCTCCAGCGCCCATACTCCAATTTCCGCCCAAGACGGGATCAGAGAAACTATCCTACTTCAATTTGGTCAGAAAAAATATTTTAAATATTTTCCATAATTCACATCGTAAACATTTGAAATATGTAATTGTCCTTGTCTTTTGCCCTTCTTTTATTTACTCTAACAAAGCCTCAATCTTTGACCTCCCCAAAAAAGACTAATGGCCCATTCTTTTAATAATGTGTTATTTTCTAAAACCCTTTTTCCCATTAATTTATTCTTTGTTTGCTAAGCACTTACTGCACATCAGACACTGTGCTAAGCACTGGGGATAAAACAGAGCAGGATAGGGAAATATTTGTCTTCATCTCTTAAAACATGCAACTTAAAAATCAAGTTCTGTTCTATTAAAAGCTCAACTCAGGTTTAACTGAAGGACATCTCTCTTTGTTCTTATATATTATAACCCTCCACTTTTTTTATTTTTATTTTTTGAGACAGTCTCACTCTGTTGCCCAGGATAGAATACAGTGGCATGATCTTGGCTCACTGCAGCCTCCACCACCTAAGCTCAAGCTATTCTCCTGCCTCAACATCCTTAGTAGCTGGGATTACAGGCACCTGCCACCATGCCTGGCTAATTTTTGTATTTTTAGTAGAGACAGGGTTTTACCATGTTGTCCAGGTTGGTCTTGAACTCCTGACATCAAGTGATCTGCCCATCTTGGCATCTAAAGTGCTGGGATTACAGGCGTGAGCCAACATACCCAGCCTCTTATGTATTATATACTTGATATTAAATGTTAATATTGTAATATGCTTCCTCTTAAATATTAAAATTATTTCTTTGAATACTTGGTTTCAAAAGCCTTATAAATTTTATTTATACTACATTGGTCATACTCCCTTCATGCCTAGCTTTTTCTTATTTGAGCAAATTCTCAATTTCATCATTTAAATACTGATTCCAAACTAGACAATTACCATAATTGCCTGAGTGGCTTTAAAGAAAAAAGTCCCAATCCCCAGACTTATTGTCTTTTTATCAGGGTTTCTGTTGATCAGTCATATTTAAGAATTAAGCTCAACCATTTAAGCTGATTAAATGGTAACTTACATAATTTGTTTAAATGAAAAATATGTAAAACTAAAAATGTGTTTGGCTTATCTTCAAAATATGTATTTGAATCTTCCTATGTTACCTACAAAACATGTACCAAATTTCAGTTTTCAAAAACTAATGTTTCTTTGTTATAGGTCATATATTACCTTTACAAAAAGATGCAAGTTAATTTCCAAATTAATCTCAAGAATCCTAAGAATCATAAGTACCTTTTTAACATGATGAATAAAAAAGCCACCTGTGTATTCCACTTGCTCTCTGAACCATATCTAACAAAAAAACTTTCTAAAAACCACAGACAGTTAGGGACAGTCAGGTGTGTCAAGCATTATGACCCAGTATGAAAATATCGGGTGTTTTTGTGTGGTTGGTTTTTTGCTCCATATGTCAACTATAATATAACAAAGATGTTGACAATATAACACTCCAATATAACAAAGATGGGTAAGTGGGTAAAATTAGTATAATAGAAGCCTTGAACATTGGTGCCTTCTGATTTAACCTAGAAAGGTTAAATCTTCTCCCTTTCTGTATATAAAATAATAATTTACATTTATTTAGTGCTTACTAAGTGCCAACTACAATTTTAAACATCTCATTAATCCCCCACAACCCAAATAGCCAAGTACAATTAGCCTAATTTACCGATGAGGATACACAGAGAGATTAAGCAACTGTCCCAGTTCCACAGCTAGTAAGTAGTGGAACAGGATTTGTACCTAGGCAGTCTGACCCCAGAGCCTACATTCTTAGCATGTGTTTACATTTATAGAATTAATTTCTTGAAAAATAGATTCAAATATATCTATCCAAATAGCTACATATATCTATAGAGATACATATACAAACACATACAGATACAGAACGAGAGTGTTCTATACCTGTAGAGAACAAGAGTGCTGTCAAGGTACTACCCATCATATTTAAAGATGAAGAAAGGAACTATTTGTTCAGTTAGACTACAGGGCAATCATTTTCATGACCACTGTCCTTATCGACCAGCAAATATTTTCTAGTTTGCTGTGTTCCGTAAATGATTTCCTAGGTGGAATTAACAAAAAGTATTCTACAGCTGATCTATTAGTGGCAAATCTGTCACATTTGATGTAGCTGAGGACATGGCCAAATTGGGAGCAGCACTGTGAATTCCACCGCCAAGAAGATCAAACTCTTCATGTGGTAGCTACTTTTCTACAATCAGGTAAGTCTCTCAATTGAAAGCAGGGTTGCTGCAGCTTTCACTCATTTTTTGACTATAGCTGCAATTTTTTACTTATTCTGCTGACCTTATAAGACCAGTCAGACTAGCCTTACTTGGCCATACTAAACTAAAAGTATGTTTAAAAACAGAAAATGTTCTAAAATCGGGCCAGATGCAGTGGCTCATGCCTGTAATCCCAGCACTTTGGAAGGCTGAAGTGGGTGGATCACAAGGCCAGGAGATCGAGACCATCATGGCCAACATGGTGAAACCGTGTCTCTACTAAAAACACCAAAAATTAGCAGGGCATGGTGGCACACACCCGTAGTCCCAGCTATTTGGAAGGTGAGGCAGGAGAATCCCTTGAACCCATGAGGCGGAGGTTGCAGTGAGCTGAGATTGTGTTACTGCATTCCAGCCTGGGTGACAGAACGATATTCTGTTTCAAAAGAAAATAAAAGGTTCTAAAATATATTGGAAATAAAAATCTGGCAGAATTAGATGCCATTGTTGCAGCAGAAAACTTGTTTATAGATAGTAATCTAAACTAAAACATTGAGAACGTTGTATTTAGCCTCAGTAATTCCAAAACTTAACTTCTACAACTGATCTTCGGCAATGTGTAAGTTAAAGTTTTTCAATATCCTGTAAAACAAGAAGGGAACACTGCACTATTGGACATGAATGCTCATGAAGGCAATGCCACGTACCTCTTCTGCTGTCCAGAAGGAAGCCTGTGCCTGTTTATACATTTTCCAAATATCGGGATACTGGATTGGGAAGATGACAAACCGGCGAGAACTCTTTCTTAGAAGTGGCTCTTCATTTGACTTTATTTCATTTTCGTTGCTATCTGAAGATGATCTCTTTGAAAAATAAAGCACAAACAGCCATTTTATATAGACATTTCCTCTTTATTCATACCTAAACATTCATCTAGGGAAGTCAGGGAGACAGTATTGTTGGAGAGCCCGCCTGTCTGGGTTGAATCCTTACCGTTGCCTGATAGCTAATACTGTTAGAAGTGTGTGTGAGACCACAGGAAGTTGCTGAACTTCTCTGACCCTCAGTTTCCTCAGCTATAAAATAATTCCTGCCTCATAGGTTGATTCCGATGATTAAAAGTGCTTTAAACAAAACCTGGTATATAATAAGCACTCAAAAATTTATTGTAATTATTGTTAGTTTGAGGATAAGTACAGAGCTAGACCCCATAAATGTCACGATGGGCAAATTTCTAAGTTTGTAAACAAAATGTCCCTTAGAGCCTCTCTGATATAGAATGCTGGAATGAATAAGCTACTGGTATAAACTACTTATGACTTTCTTTCTACTTTTCACAATACTATAATGCTTATCTGAAAACCCATTACCTACAACTTAATCTTTGTTCATTTTAACCTTCCAGTATTCCAATTTGTTACTGGTATCTACATTTTAACATTACTGCAGATGATCTCACTGTGGGCTGTCTCAAAGCTTTGTGAATAAAGTGAGAAACACATACCTATATTCATACTGCTTCAAAACATGACGACACACTAAGAGTAAATGGTGCCACATATATATTTTTTAAATAGTAGGAACATCAGAAGAGGATCAGAACAGATGCACGTGCATGAGAACGAGTATAAACAAAAGCCATACAAATAAGCTAAACATATATGAATCAGGATTAGAACACAAAAATTCTAGACTCCTAACCCAAACTGTCTCCCTCTACTGTGACAGGCCAGTTATGTTCCTTACTCCTGCCCACACCCACTGTCACCTCTCCAAAGCAAGCATTATAGCGGAGGAGGCTAAGGCTTATCAAGAAGAAAGCCCAAAATATAAGCATAAGGCTATGCAAATACAGGGGGGCTTGCATGCTTTATACCTACTACCATCACAGTATGGATTGTCTTGATTTTAACTACTTGTTTAAAGGTGTGGGCCTCCTCAGATACAGCACTTGAGCCCTGGAGAAGAGGAACCAATTTTCGTTTGTTGTGATGTTCCCAAAGCTTAGTACTATATCAAGCCTGTTAGCTAAGTAAATGGGCTGCTAATTTCTCTTCTTCCTGTGCTCAGATTTCGAGGTACCTTTAGAAAATTTAATTTAACAGAGGACCACAATATATCAGTGAGACAACCTAATAACCACTAAAATCGATCACGTTTCCCCCTCTTCACATCACCCCAAAGGCCTGGTTTAGGTTCTAGATATAAATACATAGTTCACTGCAATTTAATTCCCTGTTAATTGTCTATAGTTTCCTGTGCTTCTTGAAAGTAAAAACCATCTTCACCCTTGTAGAATCTCTTGTGCCTAGCACAGCACCTGGCACGTAGGTGGTACTCATTGCGCAAATACCTCAGCAATTTTTTTAAGACTGGGTCTTGCTCTGTCACCCAGGTTAGCGTGCAGTAGTGTGATCATAGATCACTGCAGTCTCAAACTCCTGTGCACAAGCGATCCACCTGTCTCAGCTTCCCAAGTAGCAAGCACTACGTGTGCATGTCACCACTCCTGGCTAATTTTTAAATTTTTTGTAGAGATGGGGGTCATGCTGTGTTGCCCAGGCTGGTCTCAAACTTCCAGCCTTTGCTATTTTTGTTACTGAAATTTGGGATATACTGAAAGTATGAAAGTTGGAACTCCAACCCTTTTGTTATTGAAAATTGGGAAGGACACCACAAGTAGTCACTCTAGCACCAAAAGCCCTGACAATGAATGAAGCTTTTAAATGATAATAAATAATTGATCTGCTGAAGACTAGTACCTTTAAGTTAAAATAGAAGTCACATTTGTATATACCATCTCCTTTTCTATCCTGATAACCTGTAGACTGTTAAGAGGAGAAGCTGGATTAGGAGTGTATTACAAAGGATTTTGCAATGTGAAGAGAAGGAGGTTAACCAACATCAACATTTGAGTTGGACTAGAGATGACATATTATTTCATAGTGCTTAGATACACGCACAAACATGCATTTAAATACAATTGCAGAAAGTTCATGCATCTTGAAACTCTAGGCTCTCCAGGGTACCCTCTGTGGGTACCCTCTGATCTAAGGGCCCGTATTTTAGAAGAAAAAAACAACATGAAAAAAGATATGATGGTGGCCAGGCGTGGTGGCTCACGCTTGTAATGCCAGCACTTTAGGAGGCTGACGCAGGCCGATCACCTGACGTCAGGAGTTCGAGACCAGCCTGGCCAACATGGCGAAAACCCGTCTCTACTAAAAATACAAAAGTTAGCTGGGCATGGTGGTGGGCGCCTGTAATCCCAGCTACTTGGGAGGCTGAGGCAGGAGAATTCCTTGAACCCAGGAGGTGAAGGTTGCAGTGAGCCGAGATGGCGCCAATGCACTTCAGCCTGGGCAACAAGAGCAAAACTCTGTTTGAAAAAAAAAATGATGGTATGTGACATTTTTAAAGAACTAGAAGTAATTTTCTAAGTCTGGACTTCATGGTATGTGGGGAGCAATGGGAGGAGATGAAACCTAAAAGGCAGCAGAGAACAGTTCCCAGTGGTTTTTCCAAATGTGCTCTGAAGAGCTCTGTGATCTCCCTAATGTCATCATGATCACCAGGAGAAAATTTCACTTTTAAATGTTTCCATCCTTTTAAAATAGTAATAAAAATAACTGAAACATGTTTTCTACTGTACGGAAAGGAAATCAGCAAATCACCAATGCATAAACTTGTGTTTCCAGGTTATCTTTCTTTCCTTTTTTTTTTTTAAGATGACCTCAGATGAAAGTTTCTCTGGGTACCTCTGCTTAACTGAAGAAACACCATGAGAGTGAAAAATAAGCAGTTTAAAAAAATAAATAAAAAACTTGTAACCATTTGTATGGATTTTTCAGAATTAAACCAAGCTTTCTTTTTTCCAAAACCAAACAAAATTGAAAAAACAATTTTATAGTGACAATAATACAGTAGAGACCTTATTATTCAAAGTGATCCAAACGGGTAGTTGAAAATTGGCTAACGGTAGGAATCATAAGAAAACAATGTGGCTTAAACACGTAATTTTTTTTTTTTTGAGTCTTTCTCTGTCACCCAGGCTAAAGTGCAGTGGCATAATCTCAGCTCACCGCAACCTCTGCCTCCTGGGTTCAAGTAATTCTCCTGCCTCAGCCTCCCAAGTAGCTGGGATTACAGGAGTATGCCACCACACCCAGTTAACTTTTTTATTTTTCATAGAGATGGGGTTTCACCATGTTGGCCAGGCTGGTCTCAAACCCCCAACCTCAGGTGATTTGCCCACCTCAGCCTCCCAAAGTGCTAAGATTATGGGCATGAGCCACCGCGCCAGCCTAAACACATACATTTATATTTATTTTTACTAATCTTCTGCCATAAGGTCAAAACTTTTTGTTTTTTTAGACTTGGCTGATTGAAGCCCCAAGTGTTTTGAACATTCCACACCATAATGTATCACCTATACTTTCTAGTTTCAATATTTTTCTTTTTTTTTAAGAGACAGGGTTTTGCTCTTTTACCCAGACTGGAGTGCAGTAGTGTGATCATAGCTCACTGCAGCTTCAAACTCCTGGGCTCTAGGTAACTTCCTGCCTCAGCCTCCAGAGTAGCTGTGACGACTGACACATGACACTATACCTAGTTAACTTTTTTTTTTTTTTAATTTTTGTATAGATGGGGTCTCGCTATGTTGCCTAGGCCGGTCTCGAACTCCTGGCCTCAAGCCATCCTCCTGCAGCAGCCTCCCGAAGCACTGGGATTACAGGCACAAGCCACTTTGCCCAGCCTCTAGTGGAAACAGAAATATATCAGTGCCGCTGAATGCAGTGGCTAGCCAGGTGTGGTGGCTCATACCTGTAATCCCAGCACTTTGGAAGGATGAGGTAGGCGGGGATCACTTGAGGTCAGGAGTCTGAGACCAGCCTCCAGCCTGGCCAACATGGTGAAACCCCATCTCTACTAAAAATACAAAAAATTAGCTTGGGGTGGTGGCACATGCTTGTAATTCCAGCTACTTGGGAGGCTGAGGTAGGAGGATTGCTTGAATCCAGGAGGCAGAGGTTGCAATGAACCAAGATCACTGCACTCCAGCCTGGGCAACAGAGCAAGACTCCATCTCAAAAATCAAAATAAAACAAAAATAAATATATGGGTGTATGAGAGAGCAGCCTACTAGCTATAGAAATTCTAAAGCTCATGGGTATCTATATATTTTACAGGGTTAATTGAGCAAAATTGTTTAGTAGTAATCTGATTTTTTTAAAATTTCGGAAGTCAAAGTGGTCTCTGATATAAAACACTTTGGCATCTAACACCTCTAACATGTATGCTATTGGGAGCCACTGAAAGTTTTTAATCAGGCAAATAACATAATCAGATCTGTGTTTTAAGATCACTTTTGTAGAAACATGGCTAGATTAGAACAGAAATTGGAGGCAGACGGAACAATGAAAAGATTATTGTACTACCCATATCTTGCCTGAACTAGAAACACACAAAAAACTGATTTCAGAGATATTCAGAAGTAGAATTAATTATTCTTGCTAAAGAATTTGGATTTGGGACAAGGGGACAAGGAAGAGCTGCCCTTGATGCTCCCAGCTCCAGTAACTTGGGTAATAACAAGAACTAAAAGGCACACAGAAAGTGCTCAGTACCTGGAGAATAAATGAATAAATCAAAAATCTTGCTTCTCACATTAGATGTTTAACAGTTTAATTTAACTCCTCCCACCAACCCAAGCGACAACAAAGTTACACAGTATCCTTACAAAGTCCACTAGGTCATTAAAAAAGATAATGAATTCAGTATCAAAATGTCCAGTGAGCAGTTAAAAATAAAACACTAGGCCAGGTGCAGTGGTTCACGCCTGAAATCCCAGCACTTTGGGAGGCTGAGGCGGGTGGATCATGAGGTCAAGAGACAGAGGCCATCCTGGTCAACATGGTGAAACCCCATCTCTACTAAAAATACAAAAAATTAGCTAGGAGTGGTGGCATGCACCTGTAGTTCCAGCTACTCGGGAGGCTGAGGCAGGAGAATTGCTTGAACCCAGGAGGCAGAGGTTGCGGTGAACCGAGATCGTGCCATTGCACTCCAGCCTGGGTAACAAGAGCGAAACTCCGTGTCAAAATATATATATATATATATATATATACACACACATAAACACTATAGCACAGGAGTGATGGAGCTCCCATTAGTGGTTGCCAAGGGAATGGATGTGATTATTCAGGGAGAACATATAGAACAGCAAGACAACTGAGGATCCAGCCTTAGAGAATGCCGGTATTTAAAGGGCAGATGAAAGAAGAGGAGCCAGCTGTGATTAAAATCAACTGAAATGGATGCAGGACAAGGAAAAGCAAAAGTAGGAATAATGTGATCTGGCTAAAGCAAAGGATCCAGACTCTTAAGACAAAACAAACTAAGAAGTCAGGAATTAATTTTGTGGCCAAAGATTTTCAAACACTGGAGGTCTGGAAGGCTCATACTCCAATTCTCCCCATTTACCCCCAACCCCAGGTGCTGGCATTCATTGCAGGGTACAGTTTGAAAATCTGTACCCCACAGATTTGGGGGTACAGTCATGGAGAGTTTCTGAATGGGAATTAACATGAATAGTGGTGGCATTAGGAAGACTCATCAGAAACCCATGTATAGGATTAATTCGATACATATCTAGATTTTCCTCGCAACTAAGGGACCAATTTCAAAGATGGAAATGAGAATCTGAATTAAGATGTGGCAGTTAGCATGAAAAAAAGCAGCTTCAACAAGACTTTGCCAGCCTGAGGTGACTGCCAGGCTTTTTTGTAGGAATTGAGGCCCTTTGGGGAGTTTTTTGGGGGGCCAGGGTCAGTGACACAGAGGCACTGGTCCAATAAAGGATTAACTTGGCAACAGTAGTTAGGATTAAATGGCAGGTAAGACGGGAGATAGAGAAACAACCAAATTATTGCAGGTGCACAGGTGTAAAGTGATAGAATCTGAAATAAAGTTTAGCAGAAGGCATTCCTTAGTGACATTCTACTGTATTTTCCAGAATGGTACTTCCAGTTTCTGACTGACTCAATTTCTGGTCACCTAGTTGGAAGACATGCCTGGGCATGTCAGGAAAATTTAGGTCAAGATTCCCCAGCAAGCACTTACGATGTCCCAATCTAAACCGGCATCATACATGGCTCTTACCTCTCATTCAGCCCCAATTCCACCACTTCTGTGTCTTTGTCTTTATGTCTCTTCTACTTCTGTAAAATATCTGCATGTTGTCATAGTCATATGCTATTTCTAAGCATCATTTTCATTATTCCATTCTCACAAAATCTGACAAATGGGATGCCGGCCCAGGTGCAAGAACTTGGTTTTAAATTTAGCTCCTCTACTGAATCCTGGGCATGCCATTTAGTGTTTTTTTGGCCTAAACTTTATCTTGAAAATAGACTACAAATTAGATTAGCAATAGTTAACTCTGAGAAACTGACAAAAACCATGGTGCCCGTTCTCAGAAGATTCACATCTGCACATCTAAAATCTACACACCACTTCAGGAGATTTATAAAGCCACTTCTAGCCTTTCTATGGACACTTTAAGACAGTAGGGTTTTGTTTGTTCGTTTTAATATGTATACCAGGATCACGTGAAGTACTTGTTAAAAATGCAGATCTCAAGAGATTTTGATTCACTATGTTTGGGGTGTAGGTCCAGCAATTTACGTTTTTCACAAAATACTCCAAGTGACTTGATGCAGGCCTCCTATTACGCACTCTGGCATCTAGAAAAACAAAGTGCTTAAGGCATCCTAGCATCTCAAGTTAAAAACTTTTGGATCAGCTGCCCACTAAAATTCATTCTGAATCTAAAATTCCGTCTGTCTGGGTCTGTATCACCGAGATACAAGTAATAACTAACACTTAACTTCTAGGTGTTAAGGCTGAATCACTGCTGGTGCCATTAGCACAAACAGCAGTCTCAATTTTCCCCTTTGAGTGGGGAAGTTGATAATAAATGCATTTATTTCAAAACAGGAAGAAAAAGCTTGAGGGATATTTACAGTTTAATTAGTTACTAAATGCTTA